TGCCATGATCGTGCACCACATGCATGTCTCTCGTTGTAATCCGAGAAATATACCATCATCCATTATCCATTATCAGGTTTCATATTTGGTTTCCTTAACCACCTTCTTTCCGCAGCTATCCTTCGAGCATGGATAGGACACTCGCATCATTATAAGGTGCCTACTTTCTTCAGTACAAGTGATCAAAAAGTGAAATAGCGATATGGAAAATGATAGGTGAATACAATACGTAAAAACGTTACACAAAACCAAGTTTAAATAACCTAATTGGCTTTGCACGGAGTTTTGGTCTGCAATTCTATGTGCTCTTTGACAGAGGACTGTAAGTAAGTACGATCAAAACCTAGGAAAACAAAACAGTGTTAAACACAGGAAAGTTTCGACTGATGATAATTAAATTTTACTTTCACGATCAAAACAAGAAGCGAATTAGAGAACGTCAAAAATTCCAACCGCGCGCTAACGTACCGTTAGGGTGTATTTTGAGTTCAGTTCAGTTCATTTCTCACTCTACGATTTGTGTCTTGCCAATCGAGCCTCCAGATTTGTGTTTTTGGTTAGGTCATTTCGAGACGTTGCTCGGATCATCTTTTCACTACCTCTATGTCCCCTGCTAGATCCCATCCAGCTACCTTGGCGTCATCTGCGAACAGAAAACAGGAATTTTGGAGATCCCATGCTAGGTCGTTAATGTAGAGCAGGAACAGCAGTGGTCCAAGTACGGATCCTTGGGGTGCATCGCTTGTGACCCCTTCTTCCTCAGATGTGTGAGCTCCTACTTTGAGACTGAACGTCCGCTACGCAAGAAAGCCCATTGTTCGGCTCCTGACTTCCCACCTATTCCCGATAGTTGCATCTTATAATCTAAAAGATGGTGGCTGACCGAGTGGAATGCTTTCTGGAAGTCCAGTTAGCATACCTTCACTGATCAATTCTACGTAGGTGTGACCTCGTCTAGGAATAACAGGTGTGTTAGACAAGATCTCTGATGATGTCACTTCGGCTGGTGATGAAACGTTTGCAAACGAATTGCCAAGCTCGGTGAACAGGCGAAATGGAAGACAAGATCTCTTTTCAAGAAATCCGTGCTGGGCTGATACCAAAAGCCCGCTATTGACCATGTAGTGGGATATTTTCCTTCTAACTAGGTACATTAAACACCTACATATTACTGATGTCAAACTTACGGGTCTGTTATTCTCGGCAACTTGCCGGGATCCAGAATTGTGTATTGCCATTAATGTGGCTTTGTTCCAGTCGTTCGGGACAGTTCCCAGTCTAAGCAACTCTTTAAATAACTCGAAGATCAGTCCCACTATGACGTCACCCAGCGGTTGTACAATCGCTGGGTGAATTCCGTCCGGCCCCACCGCCTTGATTCTATTGGGCCCGGTCAACTCCTGCAGCACATCCTGATTGTCCACAGCCATTGGGGACATGGCACGTTACCTTCGATTGATGGAAGGTTATCTGTCACCCTGGGGATCCTGTACGTGCTTTTGAAGAACGGATACGTGCTCTATCGCCTTCACTCACTGCTAATTCTCCGATCGACGGTTCCAGTGTACCAACCGTTTCCCGGGTGTTTCACTTAGATTGGACATATGCGTGGAATCACTTAGGATTTCGCTTGACATTTTGCCCCAAGTTTCTCTCAAAATGGCTTCTAGTCTCCCTGGCTATTTTTTGTGGATATTCGCGCGCTTGTCTGTAACCATTTCACGACTGATGGGTGCCATACAGTTTATAGACTGCCCACCGACTTCTGAGAATGTTCATAGCACTATCTATATTTGCCTTCCACCAAGGAGGACGTTGCTTTTGTCTTAACGGGTCCAGAGGCACGAAGCTGTCCGTGGGTAGAGAAAATCCTGCCTTGATCTGGCTCCATCTGGTTTCCTGACATGGATAGGCTGGGTTTGGTACCTAGTTTATATCCTGCGCCGCTCTTGCCAGTTTGTCCTGCTTGATTTTGCCACATCGCCTTACTAGATTGGCCTGTTGTTTAGTGTCTGCCTTCTAGAGTTAATCGCAGGACCACATGATCATTTTTCCCCAAAGAATTCTCTTGAGTATTGTTCTTATGTCTATAGGGGTTCTCGTGATCAATAGATCTAATATGAACGACCTATCATTTTCTCCAAACCGGGTAGCTTGTCGCATGTGTTGTTACAATGTTTGCTGACGTTGCCACTCTAAAAGCAATTCACCTCCGGTACCTGCCGGAGCCTTGTCTCCATTCCATTTGATCTCTGGTCCCTTACTAAGAACACCCTTCTGGAACTGGCAAGGAATAATAACAGCTGAGAAATCGATTCCTGATCTTCTGTTGTATTTGCCTGCGGAGTCCGGTTGATGCACATGACGGCTAAAGAGTTTCTGTCTATTTTAACCACAACTAATGGCTTATATGTTAGGAGTCTCTAGGGCTGCTGCTGCTGCCACACACTGTGTGCTCTTACTCTATCATTATCACAACCCATTCTCCATCCTATCTCGAAGTCTTAAAGCAGTACACGAGTTTGAGGCTTGCGCTCAATATTCCCGGTTCCGGATTAGTCTTCTTTTCTGCAGTTTGGTTCACGAGCTGAAAGGGATGTTGACGGAAATCGGAGCTAGCTCAAATAAGGTACCACTAGATTTAGGGTGCATGCATTGGAAAAAGAAAAAACATTTCGAGGAAAGCGAGGATGTGAGAGGAGTAGTAACAGGAATAAAAGAGATAAAGTGGTGGCGTCCTTCAGAAGATGGAGGCCAATTCGGTCAGAAGGTTGTACGTCAACCAATTCGCACTTGAGTGACGCGTAGCCGAACCGATA